TACAACAGGGAGGACAGCTCTGAGCAGTTTTTTTCACGAAGGATGCTGTGATGCCTCACATTAATGTGAATCAACAGCTCCATCTCCGCATTGGCGCTGTCGCAGAATTAAAAATATGTACTTGCAGGCCATCGAGTCACATGGCCAGAAAAGATCAGACTTGTCCTAACCTGGCAGCATGACGGTAGCAGAGCAGCGCTCTGGAGAAGCAACAATCTTGCTGACTGCATAAAAGATGAGGCTGGGCAGCCGTGAGATCTCATCAAGCTTTGACCTTCACTTAGGCTGGCTGCATTGTCTTCTGTTCCATTTAGCAGTACTCTTAAAGAGCAAAGAGGCAGACTGTATTTCTATAGATCCAATTATATTCTCGACTAGAAACAACCCAAGGAAGGCAACCCGTAAGTATCGGTCTTCCAATCACATTCACGTAGAGTTCCTATAAAAATCATTTTATTTACTCCAGAGATTATGTTTTGGCTTTTCTATCACATTTGCACTTGTTTTTCTGCCTCTTTCTTGTCCTCCTTTTCTAATAGCCAGCAGACATGGATGAATGATATATTGTTTGTGGTAACGATTCACTAAACCCCTATGCCGAAGACGCAAAATAGGAGAGTGATGTGAGCCTGAAGAGTGGTTTACCAATAACCCCTCTGAGCCTGCCACTTCAGGAGGTCTGAAAATGCCAATAGTCTCCTATTTACCCTGGGCCCTCAGTTCCAGTGGCAGAGAACACGGTGTGTTGCCGCAGTGCTACAGGGGCCCGACAGTGCATCAGTAGGGAATGGGATGCACTGAGACGGAGGCACTGCCAGGACATAGCGTGTGTGGGAAGGGAAAAGCTGGTTTCTCGCCCACCTATGCGTCATGATGCCTGCTTCTAGCCGGTTCCGTCTGTCTTCCTATTTGCTCAGGCAAGTAATATTCATTATTAAAAATATGACTTTTCCTATAGATGAATCTCGATAAACAGCACACATCTGTCTGTATGTGAGAGAGCACGCTTACACACTTCCCCTTCGCAATTTTCCTACCTTTTGTGCCATTCCACCCTCTGTCAGATGACAATTAACACAAGTGAACCTAGATGGAGACTAATCGCAGATCACGATATTTGGGGAAATGGGGAAGAAAAGAAAGGACGAGAGCTCTCATCTCCGCACATGTGGCTTGTACAACATCAGCATCAGTAGAACCCACAGTGTTCCTCTTGGTGGGACTAAACCAGAACAAGCATGTTCCATGTGCTGGTCCACAAGTGGTTGGTCCTGAGAAAGAGTATAACTACTGAAATCGCACTTTTCACACAGTAGGGAGCTTAAATCTTTTTTCCTCCAGTATACATGCAAGAGGTAAGAAGGCAAATTTCCTGAACTTTACACGTCAGCCCCTTAAAATAAATCCCTCACTGACCGCTGCCACTGAAGAGACTACTTAAAAAATGTCTCGTCAAGGAGATGTTCGCTTAAAGGCCATTATGCTCTTATGAATCAAAATTCCAGATGCCAAACAAATGCCAATTAGCAGTATTAAAAAAACAGATGCCTTGTTCTGAGTGAGTATCACTGCCTGGTGTTTGAAGGGAAAAAAATGGCACAGAACATGCTGGAAGCCACTGCCCGACTGAGAAGACAGTTTTTAAATAGCTTTTCTGAGAGGCAAACTTAAAAAGCTGTAAAAGCAACTTATTATGGAAGTCTCAGCATAATTTTTCATCAGTATGGAAGAAGGTTAAGCTGTCCCCTGCCTTAAGCTGCTTTCTGTTCGGAAGTCGAAGCAGGGTGTAGAAAAGGTACAGCACAGAGGCAGGTCTGCAGAAAGGCTAACTGAAACAGCACTCACCCTGCAGCTGCTTTTAGCCCCCCAACTCACAATGTGGGTGTCAATGTTTGGAAAACCAAAAATGTAACTGCTCTGATTATTCATTTCTATTATGTGTACAATAAATCCCTGTCAAATAAAGATGACCTCATAAAAAGATTTTTAAAGCCATCACAGGCACCCGTTACACCCTTCACTTGGAGCTCTTCTCAGACCAGTGGTCGGAGACTTCCACAAGGTGTCCAGATCATCCACCTCCTCCTGAGAGCTGGCGAATTCTTAATGTGAAAATCAAAGGAAGAAACATGAATCCTCCTCTCCCTGTCTTATCATCCACTCGTTAGATCTGCACTAATCCACAAAGTTAGCAGGGTATTTTGTTTCAGGAGTTTTGGTTTGAGCTCATCTGTATGCTTAGGCGATCTGACTTTAATTGCAGCTTGCTCTTTTAAACAGATCAGAAGTTGGCCTGTTTTAAAAAAGGGTGATCTCAGCCCCCACCTGCACCACAACCTGCTCAGGAGTACCGGCGTATAAATGGACTATTCAGAACAAAACCTCCAAAGCCAGAAGCCTCGTCCCTGTGAGAAAGACAGGAGGGTGCATTATGCTCCTGGGTATACAGGTGGCCGGACAGACAAAGCAGCATAATACCAGCTACACGTGGCACAAATAGCTTCTAGTTTTCTGCTGGTTTATGCCCAAGAAAGGCAGCCATGTACTGCTTCCTGAGCCTCTTTGCCCGAGTCCTAAAAAAGCCCAATAAATTGCCAGGATAAATGAGGACCATTCTGCAAAGTTCTGGGTTTGAAATGGGGAAAGAGCTAAGAAGTACTGCAGAACTATTAGAGAAGAATTAGGGAAATGTTAAAACATTACCTACAGATGGGATCATCAACAACAACGTCCAAAAAAGGGGAACAAAAAAAAAAGAGATAAAATAAACAGTACAGATAGTAAACAAGCACTTCTGATAGGTAGCTTACAGTTGTTAGGTACAGGCTACCACCACAACATGTGTGTAGATCTACAGGCTAGGACAATTACTTATAGATGAAAACAAAGAAAACAGAGAATTTCTTATAAATGAAGGTGAGAACAGCTAGGACTTATGAAGCCTCTCTGAGTTCAGAAATCCTCCTGGCATCATATGGACCATATGGGTTCATAATAAAAATCTCAGAGGTTGGCATAACAGAATATTCTTGTGGTAGCTTCACATCTAACTAGACTGAAACCCTTTTTTTCCCCACAAAGCACTGCCCAGAAAACAGATCACTGAAGTGATGGAAGGCAGGAGCACAGAACAGCTGAGGTAGGAAGGCACCTCTGGAGGTCAACTAGTCAAATCCCCTTCTCAAAGCAGTGCCAAGTAGAGCACGGTGCTTAGGGCCGTGTGTCCAGCTGGGGTTCGAATACATCTTCGAGGATGGAGACTCCACAACCTCTCTAGACTACCTGTTACAGTGTTTAATCACCCTCACACTAAAAGAGTTTTTTTCTTACATTCAAATGGAATTTCTTGCATTTCAATTTGCAACTATTACCTCTTCTTCAAAGAGAGCCCAGCTCCATCTTCTTTACTCCCTTCTATCATGCATTTATGCACGTTGCTAAGATTTCCCCCAAAGCTCTCTCTCTTCAAGGCTAAGCAAAACATTCTATTTTAACTGCTTTTTCAGTTATTTTTCTAACTGGATTAAAATAGTATCAATTGATACTATCATAATTGATAATTAGCTATTGATACTAGAGGTTTGAAGTACGATCTGACAAAAAAGCCTCTACAAAAGAAATATTCTTCACAATGAGAACAGCCAAACATCGGAGCAGGTTGTCCAGCAAGACTGTGCAACTGCTCCCCTGAAGGTTTTCAAAACCTGCCCAGAGAACACCCTCAGCAGCCTGATAGAAGTTGGTCCAACTTAAAAGAGGGGGTTGGATCATAGACTTCCAGAGGTCTCTTCCGATCTATATTATTCTATGACTCTAGACAGGAACCAAGGATGGATATTCAGTATATTCACCCCTGAATGAAGGAACTTAGGAAGCAACCAGGTTGCTCTATTCCGCTTCTCAATTCCATTAAATCCTGAGTTTATAGGTTGTTTTAGACATGATATATTTTTATATACACTCTGGCGAGCTTTAACCCTTTTATAATTTAAATAGCTCTTATCAAATCCTTAGCTGTTTCTTTTTAAATTCTTATTTTTAGAGATGACACAGTGTACAATTTAATCAGAAAACAACTTTTACATGCATTTGGATACAAAGTGAGCTAAGGAATGTGTTTAAAATGGATGAATGTTATCTAAAGCAAGGGAAGAACATATACACTGAGGTACAGAAACGGTATCCATGTCCACACATAATTTAAGAAGAGACAACATTCTCTAGATAACTCTCCTCCCCCCCAGACTTTAAATGAGACAGATTTCTAGCCAAAAAAAAAAAAAAAAAGAAAAAAAGAAAAAAAGAGGGGGGGGTTATGAAACGATATGCAATATTCAAGTAAGATATTTTAAACCATGAATGACTATTGTCAAAAGATGATAAAACTGAGCATCTCATTTTAACTTGAAGCATTTGCCCTCAGTCTAATAATAGAAAAGCCTTTCTGTTCTTGGATAAACTGGCCGAAGACTGACACGGGCAAGAAAATCCACATTCTAGCCAAAAACATTTGATGCAGACTCACAGCCAGCTGAACTCACAGCAAAAGCTGAAGAGATAAAGAGCAATTAACACACCTGCAGAGATTTCACCAGCTTCTGAGTAAACTATAAATACATTTCAATTTGCTATGTAGTTCGTTGATTTGAGGGAAAAATAGCATGCTATCACTAACATAAAGGAAGTTTTTGCCTAGTCAAAAATTGAATATGTAATGCAATCCCTGGCGGCGACTTCAAAAGCATTTATATAGGTCGCTGCCCATATTTGAACTGATGTTTCATTATTTGCAACTTCAGATCAATCCAATGAAAATAAGCAAGCTATAGATCTACCAGAAATTTCATCTATAATACATGACAGTTGATACCAATACTTCTTGGTCAACTGGAAATATTAAGTAAATACTCATTTTTTGCCAGAGCCCTGTTGATATTTTATCTCCTCCTCCTATTCCATGAAAAAAATAAATTCCTCCTTTGTAGAAAAGGCACACTTACTGGTACTTTGAAAGGAGAAGTATTTGCAGCGTCCATGGAGTTGGTTTTCTCAGATGTGCTGGTCCCGGAGATGCTCCGTCTGCGAGGAGATCTCTCTGCTGGGACCTCTGAGGAAGAAAAGAAAAAGAGGGTGAATGGGTGCAGGGGGGTGGGGAATTTTATGCTGTACAGGACAGACTCCTCAGCAAAGTTTCCAGTGCACACTAAACTGCTGAATTACACTCACCTATTTTTATTTTTTTTTTTGTCTTATTTGCTCCCTAAATTACAGGAGCATTTCCACTGACAGATTCAAGGCTGCGAATCTGACTTGATTGGAGGCAATAGGCATGAAAAGTGCTGGTAAAGATCAACACCCAAACATATATTGCTGTTTGTGAGATAATATTCAGAGAACTTTAAATTATTATTTTTTACATAAGCAACACAGTAATTAACTGGTAACTAAAATGAAGCCACAGAGAAATTCAATTCTAGTCACAGCTGAACACAATTTGACAGAGGTCAAAGTTCGGTCTTATGTGACCACACAGCTTGCTCAAACCCTACAACCACCAGAAGCCCTGTAGCAACCCGGGTAATATGACATATATATCTCCGCAGATAAAAAAAAAAAATAGGTCAACTTATCATTCTGGCAATATGACCTTACTAAGACACGACTTTGGCATCTTAAATCCACGCAGGCTGATCTGATGAGCACAAATATTCATAAAAGATATGCTTCTATCTGATTCTATTGACTTACAAAGTATATACAGTATTTTTTTTAAAAATCTGGCATACAGGCACACGTATACTACGCATACATGCTCTTTTATGCCTAGCTAGATACACACACACACACGCACATACACACAGACACAGATACCTTTATCGCAACTGCTGCCCATCTCCGGCTCAATTGCCAGCCTTAAAGGAATCCAGCTTCACAAAACATCCTAACACGGGGAGGGAAAAAAATCACTTCCTAGCAGAAAGTCTATTGTTATCTTCTGAATCCTACAGAAAAGGAATAAACGGCGACTCCAGCCAGTGACATTCTGACTCCTGCCGTGTTCCTTTCAAAGACAGATGCCGCTTAAACTTCCATTCCTGGCCTCCCGGCCCTGGGGATCCGTGCTACTTCCACTTAGGAGAAAGCTGGGTCTCTGCTCCCCTCCCTTCCCACAGCTTGCGGAGAGCAAGCGAGCGAGCAAGTGAAAAAGAAACACACAGGACTGCAGCTATTCAATCAATCGCTCCGACTGCACATCCTCATTAGTTACTTTCAGGCTATTAACAGACGCCCAACTGCCGGCTTCCCTCCGTGACAGCAAATTTCACTGTATATCCTGATTCACAGCAGCAAAAAGGGTTTACAGAGATATACAGCCAGCTGGTGCCACGAGAGCAGCGCCTTTCTCAAAATAACTGACGAAAAACCGAGAAAAGCCTTCTTCAGGGATAACACTGCGATGCCATTGTGATGGCTTTGCATTCCGGATTTCCATGTCATCAGAGTTATAACACGGATCTCCCATGGATGCTTGAAGAACGACAAAATGGAGCATACTGAACGAGAGGCTAAGAAACCCGGACCCTGCAGTATTAGTGTCTCACGCTGTAGATATTTATCTTTTGAAAAACCCGACCGCTAACACTCAGCCTCTCGATCTGCTCGTAACCATCGATGGGGAGAGGACTGCAAGCGGGGAGAAGAGCCTCCTAACCCGGGCTCTGGAGCGAAGTGTAAGGCTCACCGCAGCTACCCCTGGGAAATGGGCAGGGCAGACGGCTCGCTGCCGACCGCGAGGATGATGCACGAGCCCCGCTCGCCCCGAACCAAGTAAATCACGGGCTGCCAGAGCTGCCGGTAACAGCAACAGAGAGATGCTGCTTTCGGGGAGCCCTCTCCTCTGGCTGACAAGCAGCATCGGGCACTGCCCCGCACAGCTCAGGAGGCATCGCCTGCCCGGTGCTGGAGGGTAAGTCCCTGTCAGGGCACCTTTAGAGAACCAAATGCCGGTGCTAAATCGGGGTTTCTGTGTAATGGTCAGCCCTGCTCCCTCAGCAGCCTCTGCAGAGGCGGCTGGTTTCATCCAAAAACGTGCTCTCCTACACCGCTACGAGCATTCCCCTTCCCCTCAGAAGAAAAACTTATTTCCTGCAGCTCCTGTAAGCTCAGCTCTCCCAAAGAGAGCCGTATTACGTCGGATTTAAATGATGGCTTTTGCTGTTCTCCTTGTAAATGTAATGAAAGCAAACGGGAGCGATATATTCACTTGGAACCGGGGAGTAAAGCGAGCACCTTTTATTTTAGATTGAATAGTAATGAGTAACGTAATAGGTTTGGCTTTCTCCACTTCTCACACACAGGAAATCACATCAAAGCTGCTTCAGTAATTTAACACAGTCTGTTAACTTTGCTGAGTCATAAATGAAAACAGGAGCCCGAATTCCCCGCGATTTTCAACAATAGGTGGTCGCTCTGCGAGGCTGGGAGATCAGGAGAAGTTTCTGATTAAAGCAAAGGGAGCTGAAGTTGCACCGAGGAACGTGGCCGGCTCTCCTCGCCTTCCCCCCTCCCACCACATCTGTCCAGGAACGACTCAGGTTCTTGGCAAATAAACCACTGAGGCTCCGTCAGTGCAATGAGTTTCTCCTGTTCTCAGCCCACCACAGAAGCGTATCAAATGGGGAAGGGAAAATGAAATATTCACGAGGCGCCTGTAACAACCTAAAAATAAAACTACCTTCTCTTCCCCTTCCAAAACGCAAGAGCTAACAGACAGAATGCTCAGTCCCCAGGAAACTGAAGGCCCTAGATAGAGCACAATTGTCAGGAGATGTTAACTCAAACTCAGAAACTAACGGCGCTGCCATGACATCCGTAGAACAGAATTTTTGCTGAGTTGTGTAAAAAAAAAAATCTATACTGTCATCACTGAGCAAAAAATTAGACAGTTCCCTCTCCGGCTCCACAAGCAATGCTAGAGGCTACTCTTGCATAATCTTCACCTGCTGTAAAAATCAATGCACCTCTCATAGGCTCAGTATTAAATTACAATTGCTCTCCGCATTGCTCACTCTCAGGGACCAGGGCTACAAATAAATCCCATTGTTTCTATGGAGAAACAGTCTGAAACCCTCCTCATCCCCTCTCAATCTCTGGGGGAGAAAAAAAAAAAAAAAAGAGAGAGAGACACATCTTCCCCTTTTCAACCTTAAAAAAATCCATCAAAGAAATGGGTTGTGAGCATCCCTATGGAGCACCTTTAATCTATCCCCTCATAGAATGATGATATGCAGTAATATTTATGTAAATAAATATTTATGCAGATCCATATTTACACACTACATGGTAACATACACCAATTAGCTGAGGCAATTACTCCGCTATGGCAGATGCCTCTGAAGAGGGACGTGCCCAGGGATGCAAGGCAGGGAGATCTCTCAACCTCTTCTCGTTGCCCCACTCCCTCTCCACTGCAGCACTTGGGCTTGTTTTGTTGGCTAGAAGGCAGCTCTGTGCCAAGGGAGGTTCATATTGGAAATCAGAAAAATTTCTTCTCAGAAGAGCAGTCAGGCACTGGGACGGGTTGCCCAGGGAGGTGGTGGAGTCACCGTCCCTGGGGGTGTTCAAGGAGAGGTTGGACGTGGTGCTGGGGGACACGGTTTGGTGGGTGACATTGGTGGTAGGGGGGTGGTTGGAGCAGATGATCTTGGAGGGCTTTTCCAACCCCAAAGATTCTGTGATAAGCAGCTGCAGGGACTGCCCTGCTTTGAAGGAGACCATCTGGGCCACAGCCTCGGTGCCCTCCAGTCGGGATGTGTCTCTCAGACTCCTGGATTTCCTACAGCTTGGTGCTCCGGCCACTTGAAATCCAAAACCTCACTGCTGTGGGAATTTGTATTCTGCTGTGAAGAGCTTTTTCTCAGAATGACAGGAGGAAAGATGAAACAAACCTCCCAGCTTTGCAGGACAGCCCTTGCTACTCTATCTCAATTTTTGTGAATTAGAAATGGATTGGAGAAGGGCAGGAGAAACAATCAGGGACAAAGAAACATCCTCAGGGGTTACAGTGAAAAGAATGAAGCTACTGAACTTGTAAATAAGGTCACAGAAACAAAGATTGCAGGGGTCTCCCTGACTCTGCGAAGGGCACGGCACTGGAACGAATGCACGGCCGCAGTGGGACGCCCTGCCACGCGTCCGGACCGTGCTCGTGTCCTCCCAGCACTTGCGAGAGCACCTCCAGGTCTGAGAGCTCCTGCTAACAGAGTCCACAAGGGTGACTTCGAAGCAGTCCCAAGGATCTACCTAGGAATGCAGAAAAAGGGAAAATGCACCAGCAAGCAGAGCTCCCGCCTGTCGTTACTCACAGGGGCTGGTGCTGGCCTCTGTGGCAGCAGCCACCAGTTAACAACAGCACATGGCTTAGAGCTGACGGATCCCCTGCTACGACATCCTCATCTCCAATGATCACAAAATATTCGGATTTGTGAAAGGCTACCCTGAACAGCCAAAGACAGACTATTGACAACAAATTTCTATTTCTTTCCCAAGACATACTGCTGAGCAAAAATCCCATCCTCATACTCATTCTCCAAATAATCTTTCTTTGAAATCTTTGTTCTGTCTTTATTGGGAAAGGGGCAGGCTGCTGGTTCTATCTCATCTCCTTGATAGGAGGATAAAAGAAAGATTCAGCAGGATTTCAGAGACTGGGACCTCCATTTTTTTTTCATCTGTGCACATCCTGATACGGTACCTTGGTCTGTGACTAGAGTGGATAGAGAATATGATTCATAAAAAGAATCAATGCATCCTGCCTCTGAAGTCTAGCTTAATTACAGGTATCTGATAAACACAAAAACAATTCAATACTACCAGTTACACACCCATAGCCAACCATTCCCAGACTGCCTCTCAGGTGCAACTGTATTCAAATGTCCCTGCTTGACACAAACCAAAACAGCACCCGACCCAAATATTCACCCCACTTTTGATAGCTGCCTTGGCACTCCCTGGGAGAAAAAGGTTATTTTTTGGTATATAAACAATCCTGCAATTAGCCTTTTTATGTAAGCAAGATCCAATGAGCTACACACACACTATGCCTTG